GTTAGTAAGAAGTCTGGTTCGGTTGTCTAAGTTGACTAGTAATGAAGGGGAATAATGATGGCAAATTCTGAAATATATTACTAGCCTGAAGCAATAATTTATGTCAAGACTCCCTATTATGCGGGGAGGGTGGGCGCCGTATATCTACCACAGCCCCTGTATGACCTGATAATCAGAAAAATACCAGGAGTGAGCACAGGTGATGACGACGCACGAACAGAAAACTGTGGAGTGATGACGAGAATGCAGACCAGATTAGAAAGTGAATGTAAGAGAAGGTACCAGTGTTGAAGATAGCAGAGGTTACGAAAATGTTGAACGCAAATATGCACAAAAAGGTAAAGTTTTTAAAAGAATGAAAAGTAATAACATATTTAAATTTAAGAACTGCTGTACAGGTATGTCATAACGGACAAACGACAAAGGGATCAACTTGTAGCTCCTAAGGCGTGTCGCCAAGCTATCCTGGAGCTGGTCCATTCAAGCTTTATGAGAAGCCATTAGAGCTCAAGCATAACTAGAGATTTCTATTGGCCAGGTGTTACCATCGCCGAGACCCACTACTGCAGATCGTGCGACGTGTGTCAACGGACGGTGGATTAGGGGAAGGTGAGCAAGATCAGACTGGGTGACAGGCCACTCACTGGTGAACCATTTTCCCGCAGGGCCATAGACCTGGTGGGGCCGCTTGAGTCACAATCATCAAATGGCTCTCGATACATTTTGACGGCAGTGGATTATGCTAGGCGGTACCCCGAGCCGTTGCCCTTCCAGGCATTGACACACCCACAGTGGCAGAGGCCTTAGTTACAATCTTCAGCAGGGCAGGTGTGCCTAGAGAGATTTTATCTGGGACACAGTAGAAGTGTTTCACTTACTTTCCATTCAATCTTTGACCACTAAATGATGCCATGCTATGTGCATTGGCCTCGTTGAAAAATTAGAAGGACACTAAAGAAAATGCTTAAAAGGATGTGTGTTGTGCAGCCCAAGGAATGGCACCGCTACTTGGCGCCCTTTCTGTTTGCCTACCACCAAGTGCACCAGGTCAGCACGGATTATCGCCCTTTGAGCTGATATACGGATACACCGTGAGAAAACTGCTAACACTGCTGTGCGAATTATGGGACGGCAGTGCGGCTGATGATAGGGTAAAGTCTGCATATGAAAATGTAATAAATCTATGAGAAAGGTTGGCAACAACGTCTTGCTCCCAGAAAATATCACATTAACATGTTGAAGCATTACGTGCACCGCGAAGGCGAAAAGGAAACCGAGAAAACCATCATCGCTGTGATGGAGCCCGACGCTGTGCAAGGTAAACTTATTACAGTCCCTAGTTATCAGTATGAACATAACGAACTAACATAACTGAATATAAAATTGAGGTGACGGTGCCTGAAACTATTAGAATAAACCTTATCATATTCCTTACACCTTAGAGGATGTGGTGAGAGAAGAGCTCGCGCATATGATGGAATTTGGCATTATCGAAGCATCGGACTCCTTGTTCTCGATTTTTTTCTTAGTTGTGCTTAAGAAAGACGGAAAACATAAGTTTTGTTTAGATTTCAGAAGTCTTAATAAAAGTTTGATACAGAACCGATGTGTGAACCAGAGTCCATATTTTGCAGACTGATATGATCACTCATTTTCGTACCAGTGAAAATGTTGGTGCAGATTTCTTAAGCACAAATCCCACATTAAGTGTTAAATATGAAAAATAGTATTAAGTGTTAAAATAAATTTGTTATATTTAAATGGGGAGGCATTGTCCCGCATTGACAATATATGCTTACAATAATAAGTCGCCTTAAGCTTCTCAAGCTATACAAGTAGCAAACAGTAAGCTTGAAGACTGTAACATATATGGATATAGATACATATAACATATATTTATATATCTATATACAATTATATTTAATATATATTTTATATATGCATATATTTATATTATCTATACATATATGTGCGTGTGAGTGTGTGTGTGTCTATTTATACACACACACACACACAATATATATATATATATATATATATATATATATATATATACGCGCGTGTGGGGGGGGAGGGTCTAACCCGGTGCCGCCGGGGAGAATATTCTGTTCTCATTTTTTGCATTTTTTGTGAAATGTCTCTGCACATAGATGGCTCTGCTAGTGCTTAGCCTTACCTGATTTCACCTTTCCTTGAATTGGCGGGAAAATGTATTTTTTACCAGTACTATTGTAGTGTGGCTAGTCGCCACGCGCGACGCCATCTCTCGCGACGGCGACCATTCTCCCCCAACGCGCTTCCCTGGTCTGACAAACTGCACTTTCCCGTCACGGCATTCTCCCACCTGCCGGATTCCACCCCCTTTTTACTCGTATCTTTAGTAGTTTTATCCTTGGTTTTCGTGTTTTTGTTTGTTTTAGTTTGGCAATTTTTGGTAAATTTTCTTTAGTTTTCGTTTAATTTTAACAAAAAGATAGTTAAGTCTGAGGTATCTTTGACTCGCTTATAAGAGCTGGATGTGATCATACTTTTATATAATAATGATCATTAATAGCTACGAGGTAAAATAAACTACTTTATTTGCGTAAGGCGCCCTTGGTAATAATGGAATTTTGACACGCTACACTATGAATATCGATTATTTTTATTATAAACATTATAATTACTATAATGTTATATACATTAGTAACAACAAAATAAGATAACGTAAAATAAACGGGCGAGACAGGCGGTACTCGTAACTGGCTCATTGGTGACTTAGTACGAGTGTAGCCATCTATGTGTAAAAACAATTAAACAGGTAAACTCACAGTGGACATGGCATACACGCACACGTCATGCCCGTCGGCACTGGGATATATATATATATATATATATATATATATATATATATATATATATATATATATTATATATTTTTTTTTTTTTTTTATGCAATTACCAAAGAGGTGCTTGACGAACTACTTGGCGCCATGTTGACATCATGTAATTGACTGGGTCTTTATACTGGTGTGGCTGACCAATGATCCTTCCCAAGGGGAGTAGTTGTTTGGGTAATCATTGTTGGTAGTTCTCATCTCACTATCATATATACGATAGACTCACCTACCGCATCTAGGTTTGTGAGTGTGTATGTATACACACAAACGTGCATATATGTGTGTGCGCACACACACATATATGTGTGTGATAAGGATCATAATAATGATAATAATTAAAAGGATGAAGATAATGAGCCTGATACTACTACTACTACTATGAATATGAATAAGTATAATAATAATGTGAATATAAATATGAATAAGTAATAATGCTAATAATAATTTAAAAATAATAACAAAATAACAATAATAAACTAAAATGATAAGATAATAGAGATGATAATAATGATTATAATAATGATAACAGTAATAATAATGATAGTAATAATAATGACGATGACAATAATCTTTATTGTTATAATAATGACAGTAATAAGTATTAAAATTATTTTGATGATAATTATACTGATAATATTAATATAATACTAATGCTAATATTTATGCTGATAGTAATAATAACAGTAATAATGATAATTATACTGATGATATTGATATAATACTAATGCTAATATTTATGCTGATAGTAATAATAACAGTAATAATGATAATTATAATAGCAATCATGATAACAATAATAATAACAATCATGATAATGATAATAACAATCATGATAACAATAATAATAACAATCATAATAACAATAATAATAACAATCATGATAACAATAATAATAGATAGCAATAATCATAACAACCACAAAACAACACAAGCAACAAGAATAAGGATAATAACAGCAATCACAATGAAGAGCAATAACCACAGCCACAGGTCATGACCCAATAGCACCCTCCCCCCCCCCGCAGCCCTCACCAACGGTTGAACTAACGAAGCGCGACGGCACTTATCTCACGGCAGCTTCACGAGCGTGGTCCGGACCGTTAGACCAAATGCAACGGCGCTGCACGATTAGCGATAATTGCATGCAGGCACAGCAGTTCAGACCGAGCTTGATCGGATTACCATCCTACCTACAGCGCCGAGGAATCCCTCGTCTTTCTTCCGCTTTCCTTCTTTCTTCTTTCTTTTGTTTCTCACGCATGTATTATGTTTTTTTCTCTTTTCTTTCTAGTATCAACAAGGTAGTGTTTTACCATTCATAAATATATATATCATCACACAAACACACACACATATATTTGCAACAAAACTGCTTGTAGTGCAGTACAGTACAGTGTAAGTTGATAGGATATGTAAATGTAAGTTTTAAGATATTTATGGGAAGCAGCGGAATAATTGCATACGCCTGAGTTTTGCTAACCAATTGCCGGCGTGCATGGCATGTACGTAATGCCATGCTCACTGTGAGTTTACTTGTTTAATTATTTTTACACAAGTATGGCTACACTTGTACTAAGTCACCAATGAGCCAGTCATGATTTTTTTTTTTTTTTTTTTTTTTTTTTTTTTTTTTTTTTTTTTTACTCTCTGTCGACCTCCATTCCTGTTACAGGAAAATGTGTTGTGAAGTGTCTTAATTACAATTCACAAAACATTTCATTGGCCCCGACCTCGCCAATGACTATGGCTGACATCCATCTTTTTATTTTTAATAACTTTATTTATTCTAAACAATATATACATTAGTCACCTATCCTACACTCCTGAACGGTCTCCTCGAAGTCCATATCCCTGATGCTTGTGTAAGCTGGTGGTTTTGTCCGCGTCCCTCGAAGACACAGAAGAGCTGATCTCAGGAGGGAGAACGAGAGACGACATCTCATCCACGCCGTGACATTACTCTTCGCCTGGCGTTTTTTATTGGCGAGCTGCTGTGCCAGGACTGCATTGAAAGTTGTTGCCCTTGATGCCATCCCACCTGCAGTTGTGAAGACGAGGGGAGTGAAAGATCCCTGCTCCACTTCCTGGATCCTCTCCCCGTACTCCCTCATTTTCTCATTTTCATGTCTGAGGCCGCTTTCTGCTGCTGGCCCCTATTACTGGGGGCCATGGGTTGAATATCCTGACGTCAAAAAAGGCTCTCTGTCCTCTTGCCCAGAAGCCTCTAGCGCTGACATCAAGGCGAGCGTCTTCTGTCGTGTTTGTTGACCTCAGATCGAAATTTCGTCCTCCAGTCGAAAGTAGTTCCGGCTCTACTCTGATGTCATGACAAACCTCTCTCAGCATCTGAGCAGTGAGGTCTCTCACTTCGTCATGCCGTATGACCACAAAACCACCTATCTTACAGATCATGGCATGGTTTGAGTCGAAGGGAGATCCGCAGGCACAGTGCTGAGGGAGACCATCCATGGGCCAGCCATACCTTAGAGCGAGGGCGTCGATAAAATCTTGTCTGTTTAGGCTGAATCCCTTCACTCTTATAGGCAAGGTGGTGAGCCAATTCGATGCTCCCACTTCCTGTGTCATCTGGAGTCTCCTCTTGGTATCCTCTGGCAGTTGTTGTGAGAGGTGGTGTAGCTGTTCTTCTTGTTTTTGTTCTCTGTTTCTTGTTATTTCTGTCCTTATTTTTTGTTGTTCTGCTAGGTTTATTTCCCCGTGTTTGTTCTGATTGATTATTTGTTGGGTTAAACTTGCAGTAAGTTTGATGGAGTTTTCATACTCTATATCAGCCAGCTTACAGGGGTTTGGAATCCACAAGCCTCCTTTTCTGGGCGGCAATTCAAATATGGACCATTCTACGTCCGTTGGGTTGCATCCTCCTATTAGAGCCGGTAATAGTTCCCTCTTGATTGTTTGTTCGAGGGGTTCGAGGAGATGTCCAATGCCTGGCACTGTCCTCATGAGGTAGTTCCACCTGTGCCTGATTCCAAATGTGAGGGCGGTGTAGGCGGCGTGTGGTTCGATGGTAGCTATTTTAGCCAGCCTACGGATCTCATTTACCCACTCCTCGACCCTGTCCTTTATAAATTTTTCTCTGTTGTGTATCGGGCCAAGTATTGCCCCTAGATGTTTCTCTCCACCTGTTTTTATTATTATGTCGGTGTTTTTAAATTTTTCCTTGGCAAGGTCAAGTTTTTGGGGCTTTACAATCAGCACAGTTTTTTGGGCATTAGGATAATAGCCTTGCATTGGCCCATAGAGTACAATCTCGTCCCACCATCTCTTTATGTCCTCAATTTTTCCGGCACCTGTTATGTCATCAGCGTAGGCAACCTGCTTTACTTGCGTCTTCTCGTGGCTGATGGGATCTTGTAATTTTAGAAGGCCAATGGCATACATTGCCATGGCAATGGGGTCACCTTGGGTGGTGCCTTCTGCGGACTCTATTATTTCGCATCTTCCGGTTTCCCTGTCACTAACGAATTGTTTGGCGGGTTGTGAATAGAGGTTCTCTATGTACCTAGCAAAGTTGGGGCATTTTATCCTTGTGCTGTGGAGCGTGACCTTTCTATTGAAGTTATTGAATGCAATTGATGCATCTACCATGAGCACTGCATCGCAATCTGGCTCATCGAAGATCTTCCTCATTGTGTGTATTGCAGCCTCGCATACTTGCAGGTTTCCCACTGCGCTTGTGATGTCATCTTTAACAACTTCCATCACTGCCTTGCCGTGGGACTTCGCCTATGCCGATGGGACGGCAGCCTGGTTTCTTATCGAGCGCGATAAGGCAACAGGCAGTGAGGGCAGCAAGGTCTGGGCAGTTCTTAGTTGCCATTTTTCTGGTCAGGGCTGCTATGGCGTTACACAGATCACCTGCGACACTGCCAAACTTAACGTGGCTTAGTATGTTTTTTCCACGACTTGGCATCCATGCCTGATGTTCCGGCGGCACCGTGTGTGTGGAGGGCATGCTTCCAAATTCTCTCTCCTGTTATTCTGTCGAATAATACAGGTTGAGGTGGGATATACTCTCCCTGGTATGTCGTTTCGGCATCGGCTTCTTTAGCTGGCGGGTGCTTGTCACTCAGCGCCTGACACGTGGCCTCGTCCAGGGGAAGGATCCCGTGGGAATCTTCCGATAAGAGAGCGCGGGTTGCCCGAGATATTTTCCCTTGCTTGATCATGCTAGAGAATCTTTTAGCAATGTCTTTCTGAATTTGGTTGGCTGCTGTTTTTCTTCTTTTATTTTGCAGAGCTTGTGTTTCTCGCATTAGGCCTGTTATCTCTCCCTTTTTCCACATTTCCATCCTCCTCTCCATTGCCTTTACGTTCTCTGTTGTTTTGGATTTGCTGTGAGTCCACTGGCATATCAGATGAGGGAGAATGGCGATTGCAGGTGAGATGCGTGGATGTATTCTCTTATTTCCTTTATAAATTCTTTGGCTGCATTGCACTTTGGGATTTCGAATATATTGCTGGGTGAGAAGGTGACTATCTTATTGTACACTGTGTCCGTTAATCGTGTCCGTTAATCGGATTGCTTCGTCAATCGTCGTGACTTGCCAGTATCGCATGGAGGGAGTCTCCCCCCCTTCCCGCGTTGTCTGCTGGCCCCGTTCTCTCTCCTCGCGAGCTGCTTGTGTGTCTCCGTTGCCGTTTCCTTCGCTTTCCGGGGTTTCTTCTCCTGTTGGAATCTGATTCTGGCACATGGAACCCCTTCTGCAGTTTGTGCAGGGTCTTTGATTGATTGCACATGCGCATCGTGTGCAGTTCCTTGTTGTACATGTGCAGCAGTACATGATGACTTGTAAAATATATTTTTATGATCAAAGTACTCTTATCTTTATATATATATGTGTGTGTGAGTAGGTCGTATTGCACTATTTTAGTAATGATAAATTTCACTGTTTCCGCTTCGCTGGCTTGTGCTAGTTGTATGGTGCGACGGTTGGCCTTATCAGGGGGGGGGGGGGGTCAGGTCCCGATTGCTTGAGCGAGAGAGAGAGAGAAGTTTTAACTCCGCTTTAATTCGTATTCTTTCTGTAATGGATTTTTCTATGGTCACAAAGTATACCTTGTTATACGCTATTATTACACGTCTTGTTTAATGAACCTTTTATGTCATTTAGTAGTCTTTACTGTATACACTTCATTGTAATTCAACAAAAATTAATGACAACGTGGCATCTCCAAGTTGTCACGGCGGGCACTGGAAGTTTGTCACGGGAAATTTCACTTGCTGAACAATCGCTTTAAATATTTCCTCTCGATTTTTCTGCACTTGATTACTCACTAGTTTCACTTTGAATTCACTTAATGGTCAATTGTATCATGTTAATTTTTCAATTATGTTTTGGTAATTCACTGTGTCTTTATCACGCACTATTTGATCGAAATCGTCCTGAGCGTCTCTCCACACGTCTGCACCCCACCTCTTCCTCTCTCTCTCTCTCTCAGTTCACCCTCTTCATTGATTTACGGAAATATTTTACATTATCACATTTTGTTGTTATAACATTACAGTAATTATAATGTTTATAATAAAAATAACACCATCGATCTTTCTTTCTTTCTTCGCTGGATTTCTTGGCTTTCAACCTACGGCATGTGGCCAAGGTTATTGAGCCAATGGATCCTATTTATTCTATCAATCTGTATAAGGTCATAAAGTTTTGTCTCCCTTAGAAAAGCAATTACTTTACTTATAATATTTTTATCATGTGACAGTATGATTAATAATGTGATTTTTTAAAAAAATTTACTGGATATAGTTTTTTAGTTGTTATCTTTGGTTATTGTATTTTTGGCATGATAAGAAAATGTGATTTATTGTTGTGGTGGTGTTGCATATTTGGCATCTTGGGTAATTCCTTTCAATGTAGGGAGTGAGGTGGGTAAATCTTGAGGCGTTGACCTTAAGGCGGGCCAACACCACTTCCTCCCTTTTTTCCTTTCTCTGGGCTGTGTCCTACAGTTCAATTGTTGGTCTGATTTAATTGTGAGTTGGAGGTTGGTCCACTCACTTTGCCATAGGAGATGTATTTTTGCTTTTATAAGAGATACAAAACACCTGAGATCTGTACAAACTATGGTAGTGTCCAGATCGCCAGTTTACCCAGCTAGTTTGTCAGCCTGTTCATTGCCATGGATACCAGAGTGGCCTGGAACCCATATTAGCTTGATTGATTTGTTGGCACCATGTAACTTACGAATGATATTACCCAGCAGTTCATTTTTTGTGGTTTCTAAGGATTTAATAGCTTTAAGTGAACTTAATGAATCTGAAAAAATAACTATTCTATCGTGGGTCGTCGATAATGCAAAATTAACAGCTTTGTCAATAGCAAAGAGTTCAGCAAGAAAGATCAATGTATGATTCGGCAATGTGAACTTTAGTTCACATTCAGTCGACCATACACCCGTACCCACACAATCTTCTGTCTTGGAGCCGTCGGTATATACATGATAAAAGTTTAGATGTTTAATAAGGATCTCTCTGAACCTCTGGCGTACCTCCACCTCCGGCGCCATGGCCAGGCTTCCATGATAGAAAAAATGGGGGCTTCCCATGGCGCTCTATTTGATTGAACCAGGGTATCGATGGTAGAAAGATCTATACCGACTTTCTCGTCGAGGTCGTGGAGTCTTGTGGCAAAGGGCCTAATGCCTCCATTGCCATTAGGGTGGCTCGGGTCTCGAGCCACCTTTGCGGCATATCTCAGGGCTAACTGGCGGCGTATGAGTCGGAGGGGAGGTACTCCTGACTCCACCTCAAGATGCTCGATCCGAGTACATTTCAGGGCTCCAACACACACACACACACAAACAAGCATTCTGCACGGCTTTATATATCATTAGCAAAGACTGTCTATCAGCTCCCCATTTATTACCAGAAATGCACTTTAATAAATTTAGTGCTCTTTGACATTTAGTTTAGAGTTAGCCTGATGTTCGACTTCCTCCTATGTGAAAAAAATACCCCACTGCTCTTTCTAGTGGAAAACTTAAAACCCCACTAGAGGCCCCAGTTATGAATCATATCCAGTGCCAATTGGATGCGATTTGCTGAGAATTTTGCATTATTGCTGGAGTGCCATAATGCACAATCATCAGCATACAGTATTTAAGATTCCAAGGAGGAGCTGGTAAGATGTCATTGATCATACATAGGAATAATGTTGGTGACAAGACACTTCCTTGTGGGACCCCAGTTTGCCTGGACAAAAATGTCCGAAAAAGTGACGTTATCAGAAAATAATTTGACCGAGAAAGTTCTGTTAGAAATGAAATTTTGAATAAAACAAGACAAGTTTCCACGTAATCCAAAAACATAAAGTTTTCTGAGTAAGCCATATTGCCATGTCATGTCGTAGGCTTTTTCTATGTCTAAAAATACTAATATCAAAAAATCTTTTTTGGCAATGGTCTCTTGAATATGACTGTCCAGCTCTACTAGTTGATCGAGAGTTTGACGTCCCTTTCGGAAACCGCACTGCTCGTCAACTAGTAAATTACTGGAATTTGAAAAATGCAATAGCCTACTGTTAACAATTCTTTCCATGACCTTGCATAAGCAACTTGTCAACGCAATTGGGCGGTAGGAGATGGCAAGTTTGGGATTACCCCCTCCTTTTAATATGGGAATGATGTGAGCGAAGTGCCATGAGTTTGAAAAAATGTGGCTTTTCCAAATTTCATTGTACACTTCTAGCAACTTAATCATGTCATCATGATTGAGGTGCTTTATCACCTCATATCGAATCTCATCGGGGCCTGGGGATGTTCCTCTACAGGTTCCTCTATTGTAAGGTCTTTATTGTAATCAAAGTCATCTCCTGTGCCAAAGTGAATTGGTTGCAGCTCAGCCGCTTCCTTGATGGGCAGAAATGCAAGATGATAGTTTGCTGAGCTGCTTGTATGAGAGAACTGCCAGGCGAGTGCATTAGCAATGTCTCTAGGTGAATCAAAATTGTTACCTTCGTCAATGATGTTATTAATTTTTGATGTTAATCTTATTGATTTTATTGATAGTGGACCAAACCTCTGATGTTTTTGTGTTACTATATATTGTAGAGACAAAGCTACGCCAGGAGTCTCTTTTTGCTTGTCTTATTACTCTACGAGCCCTAGCTCTTGCTAGTTTGTAGTTGCAAAAGTTCTCATTTGTGATGTTATTTTTGAAAAGCCTGTAGGCCTTATTGCGTCGGCACAGCGCCCTGCGGCAATCTGGTGACCATGGAACTCTATGCTTAACGCTATCTGTCGAAGTTTTAGGAATGGATAGCAAAGCTGCCTCTATAATCAAATTCTGAATATTGCCTACTTTATCATCAATGGTTTCTCAAACAAATTCAATATTCAATCAAAATAGGAAGATGATCGCTTCCCAACGAGTCGTCAATGGTGTGCCACAGGCACTTAGCTGCTACTGATGAAGAGACCAATGATAAGTCAATAAAGCTCAAATTACCGGTATTATCGTCCACCCGTGTGGGACTACCATCCTTCAGAAGGACTAATTCAGACTTATTAATCAACTTAACTACTTGCTCACCTTTACCATCCACCCACAGGGAACCCCATAACGTATGATGAGCATTTAAATCACCTAGAATTATTTTATTTTGTGGCAGATGTTCAATGTATCAGGTGAACAATAAACTGAACATATAGCCAGATACGTGTCATTAACTTTTACTTTGCATGCAATAAACTCC